CGCTTGTTAAGCTTAACGCAGGAATGCTTTACAAACATTCAGAGATGGACTTACACACTTGCTTTACTTCTCTCGGGATAACTTTGTCGGAGATGAAATGCCGGGTTGCTAGCGAAGCTCCAAATGCTATCCAGACCACCGATAGGTCCCGCATGCCACAACCGCTCTATCACGTGATGCATACTGCTCCGACGTGCTAACGTTCTGAGGCGAGTTACGGCGTGTTGCAAGTTTTGTGAGGTGCTTTCGTGATATTTAATGGATCGGATTACATTTTTTATTTTTCTCCGATATCCGATCCAGTAATTTAGGTCAGTATCGGACCGATACCGATACGTTATATCGGATCGGTCCATCTCTACTTTAAATTAGGGTGCACAAACCCAGAACAAAGTTTTGGAGTCACCCTGTCAAATAAACCAGTTAAATGACCTTTGCAGTACTACAGATTTACTGTGAGGAAGAGTCGAGAAAGATCTTGTTTTTCTTAATATTCTTTGCTATTAAGTGTCATGTAGAGTAGTTGTTCTGGCTCCTCTGAGTCCATCCTGAGTGGAGTTTCTCCATTGAAGAAGCTCTCCGTACACCTGTCTAGTAATCAAATATGGAGTATACACGGCCGGAGTTTGCAAGATTTCTCTGACAGATCATGGTCGTCATTATTAATTCCATAATTAACCAAACTTGGATATCCACCAACTGCCCACAAACAATCTCTAAGTTTCCATTCACTCTTAACTATACTAATAACTAATAAAACTAATGACTATCACAGGTGGACCATATTCTCCTCTTCGACTCCTGGTAATTCTTTATCTCTTCTTTGACAGGGCTCCCATATGCAAACCTGTAGTGCTGCTAAATCTCCCTGCCAACTGCTCTCTATCAGTAAACCATTCACTTCTTAACTATGACTTCTTTAAACTTGCCAAGTCTTGCCTGGGTTTGCTCTTTGGATCCACCTTTTGGCAAAGCATGACACCAGAACTGTTACAAACATTCAGATCTTCACTGCAGCTTCTACCAAGAAAGAAAAGGACAGGGATTATATCAGTTTGTTAGTGTTTCTGTACTTTTTCGCTCCTTGACATATACACACTTTGTCTTGAGTGACTCATATGTGTGACTGTAGATTGAGGTGCAGTACATGGAGTCTGTAGAGGGTTGATTCTGGATGCATAGGCATAAATAGTGACAAAATGGAGACACTGAGGAAATGTCAGATTATCATTTACCATCTGCCACACTGTAAAAAAAAATTGTAATATAAAAGTATTCTACTGTGTATTTTACAGTTTTGTACTGTTCTTCAAGAATATCATTAAATTCACATAAATAGACTGTGATTTAACATTTCAAATGTAAATCAACGTAAAATCACTGTAAATGTAATAAAACATAATTTTCTTGTTTTTTAAAATGTATCTGTCTGTACATATGCATATTTAGATTGTTAAAATACATTCACAAATGTATCATAATTTCACAAATATTTGTCCGTTATTTGAAAGATTGAACTGTTAAATTCAAAAATAATGCTATGGAAAAATCTATAAAATGATTTGTATAAACTTTTTTTTTTACACCAAATAATAATAATAATTATTGTTATTTAGGGCGATGGTGGCTCAAGAGTTGGCAGTTCGCCTTGTAATCAGAAGGTTGCCGTTTCGAGCCCCAGCTCGGACACTCTCGGTCATTTTGTCCTTGGGCAAGACACTTCACCTACCACCTGCTGGTGATGGCCAGAGGGGAATTATAGAGTAGAATTGTAAGGCGCTTTGAGGGTCTCAAAGCGCCTCCTTTGCATATATAAGTTAACATGAAATTTCAGACTTAACTCTTGTATGGTGTTCGGGTCTGTGAGACCCGTGTTCATTTTTCTTCAAAAGAAAAATCAAACAATTAATTATTTTTTCACGTGTAAATGTGTTGTGTCTTTCCACTCACTCCACTTGATTATAACTGATTTATTTATAACATTTTATATAAAAGAAAAACGAGAAGCACATTAATTCATAAATGTGATCTAACAAAGGTAAAGGGAAAAAATTAACCATGTTTGCTGTTCATATGTCTTGTAATTGGGATGAAGTAAACATCTGTTGAGTAATTTAACATAAAATTGTTTGATAGTGTTAATTTGGAAAGCCAAAACTCTAGCGGGTCCACCAGACCCATGAACACTGACTGAGTAACAAAAATACGAACACCACACAAGGGTTAAAATGACAAAAAGTAACTGTCTTAGTCTAAATGATTAACTTAACTCTCCAGCCCTGTCTCCAGTTCAGTAACTTCAAATATATGCTTCACATATTCATAGTTTTTTCCATGTCTAATTCATTAAAAGTTTTTCCTTGACCTTAAACAGGGTGTAAAAACTGCCTTCCTGCGTCACAGTCTGCAAAGACATTCTGACCATATAATGGTCAACATGGTGAGATATTTTGAAGCCAATGGGCAGCATTGCTGCCATTTTGAAATGTCCATGAAAAACTTCAAATTTTCTCTGTCCACAACTTATTATGCTATTGTCCTTTTTTTTGGTGTAGTGTATTGAATTAGATGATTGAAGTCTGAAGCAACAAGGTATATTGGCCGTTTATTTATTTAGCAAACAGGGGCGTCAGTGGCATGCAGAAGCCACAACAGCCTGAGGGCCCTAACAAAGAAAAATAGACCGAACACAAATTTCTCTACTTTTTGTGCTAAGTTTATTTTTTTGGTCAAATACTATTGTGTGAAGACTACCAAAATGCTTGTTGATACTGAATAATTCGATGATTTGCACATTCATAGGGAACATCTAGTAAAACACATATGATCTAGGAGCTAAAGACAAGACTCCTAATAAAAAGAGAGAGACATAGAGTGATAAGACGCAGAGTCAGAGGTATAAGAGAAAGTGACAAGGAGATAGAAAATTTATCGCTACGACCACTTTTCTACTACTAGAAGCCACAGAAGTTGTCTCCTTTTTTTTTTGTCTCCAGAGCATATGTTAAAAACACCACATTCATATTTCAGTGTTTTCAGTGAATATTAAAAGCACAGTGAACACTCAAAAGTGTGTTTTTTTATTTGTCAAGGTCAGAGCTATTTATAGAAGGGTGTTACCAGAAAAGCACTACTCTGTGTCCATTATCACCAGGCCTTGTTTCTTCCACTCTACACTGAGTGTGTGCTCTTGCTCCAGTTCCCAAGAAACTGGGCTTGGGGAAGGTGTGGGTGGGTTAGCGTTTACATGATTTAAAGCGTACACACAATAAGGCGATCTTCTTAAAGGTGTAACTGAAAATGGTGTACTCTGGCATTCCATAGATGAATGTGCTCCTTCTAAATTGCAATTGGCTGTCTGTTGTTGCCATGGTAACAGTGACTGGATGTCAGCCTTAATGCTGAGTTTTCCTGTGTGTTTATTTCAAGACACATCGTCTCACTAGGCTGATAGCAGGAGAGGCAGAGAATTGTTGCATTTAGGGCAACAGGGAAGTGCTACACCTGTGAATTTGTAGGAAGATAATATTACAAATGTGCATGCTACATACAAATTGTTGGTTCTTATTTTTTTAATGCTGAGTAATCACCTTTGCCTCTGTGTGTCTCCTGTAGAGAACTGATGAAGAGGCAATAGTGGACCGCGGGGGCACACGCTCCATGCTCACCACCAATTTTGAGAAGGAAGAACTAGAAGGTAACATCACTAAGTGATACTGAACATTTGCTTGATACAACAGAGGCCAAAATATTCAAATGTTTATTCCCAGGTGACTCAACAACTGCTCACACCAACATTTTCCATAACACTGATCAATTATATCTATCATTTTCATGTGTTATATAATATCAATGTAATATATAAAAGCTACAACATAGCAGTGTTAATCATAGCAGAGCCTAGGAACACCAGAAAAGCTGTATATAATATCAGTCCACCTGTCTAAGTCATTGCAAATGGATGTTGGATTTTGATGTGAGTGCTGCTGCATCAAAGAGCACAAGGTCTTTTCTCTGCACATCTGCTTGCATCAGCATTTCAGATGACATAAAAGAGACAGAGGTGCAATTTCTGCACCAAACAGCATCCTGAATAGACAACAAAGTTCAAAGGGTTACAAAAGGGTTTGCTTTTTGTAAAAGTGGACTTAATTTTTGTTTAAAAAGAAAAACCTTAATAAATCCACAGGGAAATATCAGCAAATAAGAAAACATCTTAAAAATGCAAAAAGATCAGTACTCCATGACAATCATATAATGTAAGCAGACCAAACCTTGGGTTTAGTCCAAGAGGATCTGGAACAGGCTCTCTGTTATGATATGTTTAAAAGTCATTAACTTTATAGTGCTAAGTAGCATCGCATGTTAAGACAAAGACTAACCTGACTATGTTAACAACAATGAGAGAATTGAATGTTGACTCACCAGTTTTAGTAATACAACTGTCCCCATATCTATTTTTGAATTTATTACCTTTATTATTTGACATTTTTCTTCTGCTCTTGCTCTTGACAAAGGCGGTCGCACTTTTCTCCTCTCCGCCTTTCCCTTAGCTTCCCTGCTTAGCCTCTTATGTCCTTGTCTAGTCTCGTGTTTTGTATTACTTTTCCCTGGAACACTCTCTCACAGTCTGTTCTCTAAAACCTAAAAGAGGAATTATGGATTTGATCAACTGGTCCCTAAATGCAATTGACACCCCTTTCTCAACGAGAAGTTTGGGCTTGGGTGAGCCTGAGTGCTGAAGATATCTACCTATTCGGAACCATGGTAACAGGGTTCTGGCTGATCGGAGCTGGCTTGGCCCTGACTTATCGAAGAATTAAGAAAGCGGAACCGGCTGTTTTTTTTGTTTCCTGTTCTCATGCTGTCCTCCCAGGAGCCCAGCATGAGTAGAGGTCTCTTTTTTTTCCTCTTGTACTTTCCCATTGTAGTGTATATTTCAGTGTTTTTTTTTTTCTGTAACGCTACCAATCTCCGACCTGTATCCCCATGTGATGTCTGTGTCGTGTGTGTGTAAGGTTGGGGGGGGGGGGTCCTATTTCACTGCAGGCCAACCTGCACGTGGCGAATAAAGCCTTGATTGATTAAAGGTAGTGAACATTACTCATACTAACGTGCTAAACCTGTAATTTTGCAATACAAGTGTAATTAAAAAAAACCCAAAACAATCCTGATGTATTTACATGTTTAGTAAGATGACCAAAGACAATCTAAACTAGGTGAAAATAGGCAAAATAATGTGGGTACATGAAATAATTTTAGAAAGCAGCATACAAGACAAAGGCCTGTTAGGAGGCAAATGGTGAAAATAAATGTACATTCATACCGAGAGCATTAAAGAGTTTTCTGTGCAATAGTCAAACAATAGAAAGCTTTGGTACACTCAAAAGATGAGTTATTACTGAAGCAGAATTGGTTCCCCGTCAGCATCCACAGAATTTTTGTTACCAGGCAACGTGGATCTAGGTAGCTGGCAGAAATGTCAGTCTTTTATTCTGACACTCTGTCAGTGAGGCAGTACTTTCATCTCAAGGACCCGCATCTCTGGATGATGGTTTCCATAATTACTTTATTCTTGTCTGTTGCTATGGTAACACAGACTCTTCAAAAAGCAGGAAAAGAAGATCCTCTGAAGTTATGTCACTGCATAACTCCTCCTACTAGATTAGTTCTAGGAGAGTTAATTATGTGTATTACATCACTGTTAATAGATCCAATTCAAATACAAAATTGAACAATATCTCAATAGAAAGTATTCCCTTAATGTGTTAAGTATGACCCCTATTCTAAAAAATTGGAATGTTGTGTGAAATGTAAATAAAAAAAATATGAAAATATGAAAAGAATAATATGAGCTTGTTTTGAATTTAAATTTGAATTTGTTTGCAGCAACATGTTACAAAAATATTCTTTCAACAAGAGTCGTAAACATTTGGGAACTAAAGAGATCATCAGTTGGACCTTTTGAGGAGGAATGTTATCTCATTCCTGTCTGACATTCTAGGACTCTAGCTGCTCAACAGTCGTGGGTCTTCTGTCATATTTTTGAAAGGTCCGGACTGCAGGCAGGCAATTCAAATCCTGGGCTCTTCAACAATGAAGCTACGTTGTTGTAAAAGGTACAGCGTGCGGTTTAGCATTATCCCTCTGAAATATGTGAGGCCTTTCCTGAAAAAGATCTTGACTACACCAGAGAAGAGCGGTGACGTTTCTGTTCACATGTTACTTCTTCTTTGGATAACAAAGCTTGTGGATAACATGGTGGACTGTTTTCATGAACAGCAATTTCTAGAAGTGATCTTGAGTCTATGTAGATATTTCCATGACATAATCATGGCTGGGTTTAATGCAGTGCCGCTTTAGGTTGAGAAGATCATGAGCATTCAATATTGACTTATTAGAGTGTCCCTTACACACAGAGACTTCTCTAGAGTCTCAGAATCTCTTGAGTATATGATATGCTCTATATGGTGACATAGTCACAGCCTTTGCTGTTAATGAGCATTATTCTGAAAGCTCTAGATTTTTATAGAGTGGTAAATCTCTTCCACTTTTACTTAAGAGAAGCTCAGTTAACTTAATTAGGTGCAAAATGTTCCTCCGGTTATTTCTTTATCACCGCTTACTTTTTGTAATCTTTTGTTGCCCGGTCCCAACATTTTTGAGACATGTTTGCTGACATTAAATTCAAAATCAGGATGATATAATTTCTCTAACTGTTCAAAGTCAAGGAGAAATTTCGCCACCACCTTCCCCTTTTTCACAAGGGAAACATGGTCTTTTGATAAGCTGATGTCCTCAGTAATCTCTGTCATCGCTCAGGAGCTGTTGAGGATGGAGGACTTTCAGCACTGGGTATCTCACCTGCAGCTGGATGTGAGATGTCTTCTCAGATGTATGCCTGATAGGTCGCTGTGAGTGGGGAGACCCAGAAGTGTTCGCTGTTGGTGACCACTTGGATGTGGTTGTTATGAGGAAAACTCTGACAACAGGTGCTTCATTGACTGGGTAGGGGGGTATTTTCAAGAGAAGGACCATAAATGGCACTTGTTTGAAGTTGCTCCTTCAAACAAATATGTGGAGGACAGTTTTTCTGGCTTTGAGCTATTTCTTGCTGCTTCTGAAAATTGTAATGTCTTGTTAAGGACGTCAATGCAACAGCAGTGGTGTATATAAACTGTCAGGGAGGCTTTCTCTCGGTGACATTACACAAGTTGGCTCACAGCCTGATTATGTAGAGCAGCAAACAACTCCTCTCATTAAGTGTGACGCATGTTCCTGGTGTGTTGAACACTGGAGCGGATTTGCTCTCCAGAGGTTCTCTACTCTACAGGGAGTGGTGACTCAATCCCAAAATAGTTTACCAGCTGTGGGACAAGTTTGGTAAGGCGTCCATAAATCTGTTTGCATCATGCAATGAATTATTTTCTATAAGAAACGAGGGCGAGGACACAAAATCTCACCTCACCCATGGCTGAATGTGCTGCTACATGTGTTTCTCCCTTTCAACCTCAGGGAGCAGTGACTGTCTCTGATTTTAATTGCTTCTCATTGACCCAACAGGTCATGGATGACCATCCATGGCCTGTTGGGTCAATGAGAAGCAATGAGCCTGTCTGCTCCACAACCAGCAGTGGCCACTGCCTTTGTGACTCAATCCCAAGAGGGTTGAGGGACTTAGCGTCACAGAGACATAGGCAGCTTTTTCAACCACATCCAATGCAGTTAGTTCTCAGGGCCTGGCATGTGAAAACTTGAATTTGAATGAGTCTGTTCTTCTTCTGTGGGTCATTGAGACCATTCAGAGTGCAACAGCTCTTTCCACATGTTCACTTTATGGTGTGTATCTTAGATATGGTGTTCAGATAGTGCTCAGTTCCAAAGCTGTTATGCTTCCTTCAGGATTTGCTAGATAACATGTATTAAAATGTATTTGGCTGCAATTTCAGCCTGTCATGTTGGCTTTGGTTCTGCACCAATTGGTCAGAATTCTCAGATAAGGAGGTTTATGAAGGGAGGCCACTAGCTGAGGCCTCCTGCCAAGCCTGTTTTTCCCTTGTGCGATTTACTGACAGTTTTAGAGGCACTTTTAGAGCTGCCTTTTGAGCCTTTAGAATGTCTTTACTTAAAGGAACTTTCACTCGAAACACTCCTATTGCTGTCTAGATAAAATCCGATGTTTCTGTATCCTATGCCTGCCTTCGTGTTTAAGGATAGGGAGTCTACCTATAGCTGTCCCACACTGGAGCTTTTAACTTTTCATCTCCTGTTTTTTGCTGATGAGAGCCAGACGTGGCTTCACTTTGCAGTGTCTGAGCTTAAAAATGTAACCAGAACTAAAGGGTTTAGGAAAAGCAACAAACTCCTTCCTGGGATCCTTCTTACAGAAGGAATCATGTGTCCCTCCAGTGGTTGCCACACTGGAGTGCCAGGGACTGCAGCCTCCTGTGTACCTGCATGCACATTACACCAGGAGAATACCAAAGGCTAGGTCACGCACCTTTTTTAAGAGTGTTTCTGTTGGGGACATCCATACAACTGCTAGCTGGGCAACCCCACACACATGATTTAGGTTTTATTGCATTGATGTTACCGCACCCTTGTCACACTTAGCATGTTTACTATTATTAGCTGCATGCTGACTTTAGCCTTGTTGACTTTACTCTGCAATATTCTATATTGCATAAAATTTGGAGCAACACTGAAAGGAGTTCCCAGAAATACTTGTTTCATGTTTGATTAACATTTGATATGAAATTATAGCAAGCAGCTGCTTTAGGAAGTTACTGACATCAGGAATATATTCTGTAAATGTATATTTTACAGAATTTTGAATATGAATATATTTGAAATAATCAGCTATTTTAGCTATTTTAAATAGTCTCCAGTTGGCATCAAAAACTGAGATATATATAAAGACTATCTCTAATCAAAGAAAACTTTGTAATGTCAACAAGTACAAGAGGTTGCCACACATGACATGAATAAACTGAGAACATAAACTGTACTGCTTCTTCAGAGGCCAAGGCAGTTGTATGATAAGACTGCAAAACCCAGCAAAAGCCAATCAGAATTACTTTTGTCAGTAGTCACATCCTCAATACACACCCATGGACTTGAGGATGTGGACGCTAAAACACAGCATGTCACACAGCTGAGTGAATTCAGGCTGAGGCTGACTGAAAGCCAGTGAGATGTGGCAACAGAAGAAAAGGAAAAGAAACATCCTATGACATCAGCAGTAGTTTAGGCCTGGAGGACAAGTGCTATATTTGTAAAGTCCTTCACTTGTGAGACTTGCTCATGAACTCTAAAGCTCTCTTGCTTTCCTGTTATGTGTTCCTCAGCTGCCTAGGTCCTGTCTGTTCATATATGAAATTTCCTGCATATGCACAGTCATTCTCTCCTCGGCTTCTGACATGCATAATTCAGTCAATGCTGAGAACAGTTTGCATCGGCAACGGTACATGCTCTGTTAAGAAGATAGCCTCCAAACTACAAATCTATTCTGACCTGTCGTTCATTTTCTCATTGCATCCTCTGAGATCTAATTTTTTCTCTGGATTCCTATTGGTGCAGGGTGTGTACTCTGAAATGATCTGATGTTACTGTGCTCCTAGATGATTCATCTTTTGTCTTTTCATTGCTTAAATCTGATTAGTACGCTGTGATGAGATTAGGCATGTATCCAAGCAAGTGAAAACAATTCAAGGCAATCACTGGGATATTTTTATCTGACAAAATATACAATATACAGTATCAAAAATATACAGTACCGAGTTTTTCTGATAATCAATCAGATATGTATAGGAAGTGTATTCACACTTCAACTGTACATTGCAAATATAATAATAAATAATCTTTCCTCCTATATTAAAAAATACACATATCCTGAGGATTTAAAATACTTGTACTTGTACAGTTGAAATGTTGTGTTGAAATGCACACAGTTTTCACATGAACACTAATTTCAAATGCATACTTTCACTTTAATTCAGCATGTATACTGTTACAAACAAAGTGATATATTTAATGGTTGCTAATGATAAATTATTTATGAATGAAATAACCTTTTTTACAGTGGTATGCAAAATGGGTTTGATCTTTTCCTCTAAAGGTGAATGCCAGCAAGAGTGTTGTTTTTTCAGTAAAGTAGACATGTAAATTTGTACAAAAGTGCTAGTGCCTTTGATGGGTTGATGAAAACAGTATAACCAATCACTTTCCCTTGTGTCATCTTTCTGGTGAGAAAAAAATGACTTAAAGTGATGCTCCTTTGACGCACCCTATTTTGTGGCTCCCTAGCATCAAATTTCATGGGGTATATCCATGTGGTGTCACATTATGCCGGACAATGTGGCGCCTCATATGGTGGTGAAGCCAAATAAAGAGAACAGCGTGTGCAGAAGTATTGTCTGTGTCCAGACACAGAGCTGAGAGCCGGCAGGAAGGCAGCAGTGGCCAGGCAGCTCGATTGCAATAAAAGAGGAGAAAGTCAGCTCGCATTATCTTCTCACTGACCCTGCGGATGCGCACGTACATACACATGGACATTAGAAAAAGGCCTTTGTGCTACATTGTACAATATCCTTTCACAATCTCCCTTTCATTATCTGTTCTGTATTTATTTGATGAAAGTAAGTAATTACAAAGATATTATAATGTCAAAATCATTTCAACTTGTGCAAAGATGACCAAAGACCCTAGAGGTAGTAGTTCGTTAAATAATGTCTTTGTGGTTTTTACCTAACAGACAATGGCATTTACTTCTCTATATTACTGGGCAAGTTGAGCATTGTTATTTTTATTTATGTACAAGCTACAAGCTATGATAGCTTGTTTTTATTATTTTTTTCTAGACCCGTTTTTGAAATATGATATAATAATATAATTTTCTTTATTAAACCAGCATTTGTGACAGTTAAAAATATGCCAGTATGGGTTCTTTTTATATGCATAAAAATAGGCTAAAGTCTAAACTCAACACTGCAATTCTATATGTGATTTACTTCTACTTGGGAATGAAAGGTCTATAAGTTGAATTAGATGATGTGCATTGGTATATTTAACCAATGTACTCATTCAGCTGCTGTCCTAACACATGTAGCAACGTGTTCACCTGTAGAAAAAGGTTTAGGTAAAATAATATTTACAAGTTTTCCACAAAGTTTACAGCAAATGACTCAAAATATGGTGGCTAAAGGCTAAAGGATGTTTTCTTTTCACTGGAGTACCACAAGGATTGTTGCTCAGTCCCATTTTCTTTGTATTCTACACCAGGTCTTTTATTTTATTTATCTGGGTGACCTCTGTCACTGTTATCATGCTAATGATACTTAGCTTTATTTCCACAGGAGGTACGTACCCCCAGTTGTGCCAGGGATCTAACAACATTAATTAAATTTCTGCCACGTTTAAATATAATATAATACATAATAATTAGTTTACCCAGATGGTAAAAGTGTTTGGTTAGGCAGTTATAGAGTAATGTAAGACTGCACAATGCAACCCAGCTGTTTTATTTTGCATTTTGATTTTGAAAAGATAACACAGATTTTACATGAATAATTAAAAACATTCACTGAAATAATCAGGACATTTCCTGATAAATAAAAGTTTGTCTCTAAGAATTAAACTTGTGACATTTTGGGCTTTTACTGAGCTACTTCTTAATCTTGCCACATCCCACATTGGCAGTATTCCTGCGTATGAGTCACTGGTGAGTGACTCACCGATTAGGTCTGTAAAATTTTAGATCAATGACACAGCTAATCTTCATCTTTTTCCATCTTTTCTCTAGGTCACCGCACTCTATACATTGGGGTTCACGTTCCTCTAGGCAGGAGGTCGCACCGACGACATCGTCACCATGGACACAGACACAGGAAGAGGTCCAAAGAGAGGGATTCCACAGCTGAGGATGGAAGAGAATCCCCATCACACAGTAGGTTTTGGTTCTAAAATGCTGATTTAGATTACACATTTTTACAGAACCTGGGTTATGTGCTTCTAATCCATGTCTTCCAGTGGTATTCAAATTCTTAATTTCTTTGGCTTTTTTCTTCTTTTCTGTGCTTGTCTTCCACCTATCAAACTTGCTGCAGCAGACACACCAGCTCAGAGGGTGCAGTTTCTGTTGGGGACTGAGGATGGCGATGAGGAACACATCCCCCACGCCCTGTTCACTGAGCTGGACGAAATCTGCCTCAGGGAGGGTGAGGATGCTGAATGGAAGGAGACAGCAAGGTATGCCTTTGTATTTTTTCTCCCCTGTTGTGCTTGAGACTTTGAATTGTTTCTATCTAAATAAAAGCTTATTAAATTGATGTGGCCAGCGGACTATGAGTTAGCAATGTGATAAAACATAATGTACACATCAAAACTAAAAGGAAAATACAAGGAAAAATCGAGGAATTTTTTGTGTGTTTTCTTTTGGTTGCAGGTGGCTTAAGTTTGAGGAAGACGTTGAGGATGGTGGTGAGCGGTGGAGTAAACCCTATGTAGCCACTCTGTCTCTACACAGTCTCTTTGAACTTCGCAGCTGCATCATGAATGGCACTGTGATGCTGGATATGAGGGCAAACTCACTAGAAGAGATTGCAGGTAAACACTAGATGAAGTGATTTTTAAAAGGGTTTATGCGACCTTCATGGCACAAAAACATGCAGCAGGCACATTTGTTCAAAATCTACATAATAAAAAAAACAACCCCCAGCTAAAACCTCATCTTTAGACTCGTGTTTGGTTAACTTTTTGTTTTTATGTTGGCTTTTGTTGTGAAGCTCTTCGTGGTGTTTCTCTTGAAAGCTTCTTTGCTCAAGTACTTAATATACTCGAGCCACTCTCCCAGTGTCAAGCTCTATTTTTGGACCACACTTTGTCAGTCTCTGGTACAACAGTTTTCTCATGTTCCTTCTTTCTGATGTTGCTTGTCAGTTGGGATTTCCACACAGTTGCCCTCTTCTGCTCCTTGACAGCCACCTCTGTGTCTGGTTGCTGGTTCCTGTCTGGAACTAGAAGTCCCACAGGAACTTTGTGCTGGTGTTCTCAGCCACTTTTGATGGCATGTCCCATTGGGACATGGGGATTTCTAATCCATATGCAGCAAAGATGTTCCTGTACAATATCCCAGTGACTTGGTTATGCCTCTCAGTATATGCTGTCCCAGCTTGCATATTACTTCCTGCTACTATGCCTGCACAGACTTCTGCTTCTGTGCTGTGCTTCATGCTAGCCTTTTCCATCCACCAATAGAATGTCTTGATGTCAGCCACTGCCACTATCCATGATTACCAAATCCACCCTTTCCTGATCCAGATGCTCCACATGCTCTAGGCTTAGCCTCACTTGCTCTTCTGACTGTCCCTTGTTTCAGAATTGTGTGCCAAAGCTTTTGTTGCTCCACACCTCTCTGAAACTTACTACCATTTTAAATGGTAAATGGCCTGCATTTGTATAGCGCTTTTCTAGTCCATAGGACCCCAAAGCGCGTTACACTACATTCAGTCATTCACACACACATTCACACACGATAGCACGCTACATTGTAGCCACAGCTGCCCTGGGGCGCACTGACAGAGGCGAGGCTGCCGGACACAGGCGCCACCGGGCCCTCTGACCACCACCAGTAGATGGGGTTAGTATCTTGCCCAAGGATATTTGGCATGCAGCCAGGAGGCAGCCTGGGATCAAACCACCAACCTTCTGATTAGTGGCTGACCTGCTCTGCCACCTGAGCTACAGCCTCCCCATTTTACCTCTGCTAGCGAATCTCTATTACATAATTTAAATCTAAGATCATAACCCAACTGTTCACAGCATATCACATGTATTTTTTTTATTTTAGCTGTTAATTGTGAACACCAGTGTAGTCTGTTCATTTGCTAAAGCAGAGAGATCCAAAGTGTAATTAAATAAATATTGTCTTCTTTGAATGATTGTTTAAAAAAAAAATGAAACCAAGAAAGAGACTATTGAGTGAGCTCCATTGATTCATATCAACAGAGAGAGCGGTGCACTGAGCTGCAAATTCATTAAATCATCTCAATAGAAACCGCCTGCTTGACTTGATCCTCACTCTAACAGTTTACCCACATTGTGCGCAAACAGAATGAAGGAGTATTTATACTGTACAATACTTGACTAGCTGGCACGTTCCATTTCACATTGACCAGCACCTTTAAATCTACAGTAACCAAACACATCACAGTTCAGAGGTTACTCAGGATGAAGGATGAAGAAACTTTCCTTAATTTTAATTGTAGCTTATACTGCTGTAGATGCCATATGTTGTAATATAATGTTCATTCAGTGGTTTGACGTTTTGATGATCTGTTGATCTCATTCTCTTTGGGATATTTACACCAGCAGCACTACTCTGTTTTGGTCCTGGCAGATGGCCGCCCCTCCCTGAGCCTGGTTCTGCAGGAGGTTTCTTTTTATTAGGGAGTTTTTCCTTCCTACTGTTGCCAAAGTGCTTGCTCATAGGGGGTCATATTATTGTTGGCTTAATGTATGTATTATTGTGGGGTCTACCACAACAACAAAGTGTTGTTGTCGTTGTGAATTGACACTGTATAAATAAAACTGAATGGAATTTTAGGATTTTTCCTACATTGATAAGATTAGGAAATGGATTGTCATCTTTTTAACCAACCAGATGACAGGTTGCTGTATAACCATGATATGACCTCCAATTGAGTTTAAGTTGTTGTGTAGCAATTTTTTTTAGCAGGCCTTCATGGTACAACTCCTCACTGTAGTCTGCTTACTGATCCAACTCTCAGTTCTAAACCTATACTCAAGCAAATAATTTTAATTTCTATTTGCCATTGGCTTTTATACATTTTATTTTGCAACTGCTTATTAATTTGTGATCTTTGCATCATTTCCTGTTTTTGTATATTAAAGTTAGGGTCTCTTAATTATTAAAATCACTGATTTAATGGGTTTTATTGGGGTGGAGTCCAGGTTAGCATGCACCATAATATGCCAGAAGAAGTTCATCCACAAGGAAATACAGAGGACCATTTGATCTGCTTCAAACTGCGTTTTAGATTTAGAGGTCTTCAAACTGAATGCTTTATCTGATTGTGGTAAAAACTGTTCTGCTGCACAAATCTATTGTATGTAACCTGGTTTGGTGCGATTAAATCAGGTCATTTTTTGTTGGAATAATCAGCTTAGTATTGCTGGCTGCCACACAGCACCGGACACCAGCAGCCTTTGTGAATTCAACCATTTTAAGGGGTATTGCGTTAAACACAATGGCGTTTGTGTGTGTTTTCTTCCCTAGACATGGTTCTGGATCAGTATGAGGCATCTGGCCCTGTAGGTGAAGATGCCAGGAGAAAGATCCGTGAGGCTCTTCTCAAACAACACCATCACCAAAACCACAAAAAACTGGCCAACCGCATCCCTATTGTACGCTCCTTTGCTGATATTGGCAAGAAGCAGTCTGAGCCTCACTCCATGGACAAGAATGGTGAGCACAGAACATGTACAGGACACCCACACATACACCTGTCTGTAGATGAGACTGCAAGCTTTTCTGTACTCTGTAATGTCCTCAGCTACTCACGTGTTGATGTTGTAAACAAATATATGCAGTATGTTTCTGTTTAATGCTATTATCCTTTGCATGACGATCCAATAATTATCCATCTCGACATGCTGTTTTACTGCTGTTTGATATCTCATTTTCTCCTCTTGTTTGTGTTTCTCCATGTTTGTGTATGTCTTTCTTCCTGTCTGCTGTATTTTGCATGCATGTGTGCATGCGTATATTTAACTTACCCAGTAAATGGCCTCTGTTATCACACTTTAAAATCTAAAATGTTCACCTGAAAAAACACTCCTGACGAGCACTTCACCCAGAAAGGCCTTTTCTTTTAGGGCTTGTAGGCAGCGTGTTTCTTGTGTGTTATGCTTGTCCACTCCTTCTTCACCTTTGAGTTCCTGCAGGGGCTTTGATCACATGACTCCAGACATGGTCTTTGGTGAAAACAAAACCACATGTCTTAGTGTCCTTTAGGCAGTTGCACAAAGCTACTGCCCCATCTCACTGGAAGACACAGATCAGGAAATCTGCACGGGCAACAAGATATCCTGTAGGCTGATTAGAAAGTCTGTAGACAGTAGTAGTATAAAAAGAACGTGCTAAGGATAGGAGAGTAACATTGTGATTGGTTGGATATGGCTGGTTAATAATCATGACAAAAAAGAAAAGAAAAGCTCAACATTCTTCAGTTCAAGCAGTTTTCTCCCTGTCCAAGGCTCACTGTCAAAATGTTCTTCCAGCTTTTCTACTGTTGAGGCTTCAAAGTGAAGCAATATAAAGAGTTGAAATGTTTATGTTGTTGCGGTTTTGTGAGTTTTTCCACATCTGGGAATAGACTTAATTGAACTGAAGAATCACAAAAGTTTCTATAATACTCTCCCCTCCTTGTCACTGTCATCAATATGTTTCTTAAACAGAAACCATAAGAACTTGTAGAGCAACTCTAAAAAATAGTCAGTAATGACTAACTGCAGTAACTGCTCACTAGTCTTTATTTTGCTGCTTTTGGGGATCAGCCTTTATAAAGAAATGTTTGAACATTTCTTTATAAAAGCTGGGAAATACACTTGTGCTCCTTTTTGGCAACTGAATAAAACACGGACACTGCTTTTGAATAAATTATATGCTAAAATGATTCCTTTAAAGGAGGAGTTCAGCATAATATCATTGTTACTTCTGTCTGTTAAAAATGAGTCCAAAGCCCACAGGCTGTTATCTTCCCTTGTCGGAAAGGCTGGAAACAGTGAAACAACTTGGATTATAAATGTTACAAATTAATATGTTAATTGTAGATTAAATAAATAATGTATAGCGCATTAATCGGTGGGCTTTATCAAAATGTGGTGATGGGAGTGTTGTAGGCCAGGAGCCAGCTGTAAGCCACACTAGTTTCCATATTAAAGCTACAGTTTCTTAGCTATAGTGTCGTATCGAACAGATATACATTTCATTGCTGGAACTCCTTTAAAAGCAGCACCATAGCACACTCACTTAAAGAGTTGACATTCTGAGCAAGGCATATTTTTAGCTTTTTTCTTTAACTGTTTTCATTAACGCCCACAGTTGCAAGGTGAAATCTTTGACTAAAACAAATAAAAATAAAACAAAATGAATAAGGTGCTTTAAATGAGCACTGGTTAACTGATGCACATAAATCTGAACTGGAAGTTAAAGATTGCACCTTATTTTAAACTCTCTTTAAACGGTCTAGCAACAATTTATATATTGCGCTTTAACTCACCGGGTACACTCTGAAAATGGGTACAATATTATTTGTTTCATCACTGGGGCTAAAGCTTTTGTCCTCAATAAAGACTCAGCACCTACAACAAAAAGGACCAGTGCTGTAACCCTTTTTCAGAGAATGTAACTGTACCCTGTAGTCACTCCCTGGAAATCTCTGTCTTTGTGTGGGAAAGAGGTATTGGGATAGGATGAGCCCCTGTGAAAACTGATGTTGGTTTCCTGCTCTACCTGACAGGGCAAACAGTCTCACCTCAGTCCCAGCCCGCCAACAATGAGGGCAAACAGGACGTCAGCCGAGAAAACAGCACTGTTGACTTCAGCAAGGTTAGCTACCAGACCCACCACTGATCCTGCTGTTTATCTACGGGCATTGATAGCTGGACACATAAGTAGTGCTGTATATTTAACCAAGCCTGGGTTACATATGAAATCACAACCTTCTTACCCTGGGAAACTGAGTGGAATTTAACAGGAGTACTTCTTTCTTCTCAGAGCCTGATTCTTGCTGTGTTGTTGATTCTCATTTATAAGACGTTCAGTACGACTGCATCTACATCACTGTGTTTTTAAAGCAGACCAATAAACATTTTTACTTTATAATAATGTGGTGGTTTTCTTTTTCTTTTACAGATTGACCTCCACTTCATGAAGAAAATCCCACCTGGTGCTGAGGCATCCAATGTGCTGGTAGGGGAGCTGGAATTCCTAGAGCGCCCTGTGGTGGCCTTTGTCCGCCTAGCTCCTGCTGTACTGCTTAATGGCCTGGCTGAAGTTCCCATCACCACCAGGTAATAAACAAATTGTTGGCAAAGCCCTTAACTTGCCTCTGTCTCCTTCTTCCTTTATTCTGTGCGAAGGCTGGATAGATGAGCCGGTTAACCTTTGAATTTCTCATTAAAAAAGGATTTGACTTTTACCAAAAACCTTTTGTTCTTTGTCTTGTGCAGGTTTCTTTTCATCTTGCTTGGCCCTCTGGGGAAAGGTCCACAGTATCATGAAATTGGCCGGTCTATTGCTACACTGATGACTGATGAGGTGAGGCAAGAATCTGAAGAAAGTAGCAGGTGTTTAATGCTGTGTTTTAGGATATTTTAACTCTTGCAGTGATTCTAGGCACAGTGAGATAAAACGCAAAAAAGCTTTCTAGATTATAGGTTTTTACTATTAAAGTGGAATTGCTTGTGTATGTGAAGTAATGTTTAATTTAATTATCATAAACATTATCTCCTTAGTTGATCAAATACAGTAGAGTAGGAATAGGAACGCAAACTGCAATCAGGATAGTCCCAATTCTAAAAAGTTGGAATATTATGTAAAATGCGAATAAAAACAGAATGAAATGGTTTACAAATCTCATGAACCAATTTTTATTTTTTACAGTTAAAAAATAGAAAACAAAAATTGCATAAACTACAACATTTTAACATCTTACTCTCTAATGAAAAACATTAGCTCATTTTTGATTGATATAAACAATTTCTCAAATCAAACAGGTTCTCAGTCATCCAGGTCATCGTAGTCAAAGGAGCTTGGAAAGAAAAGCGTCTGGTTATAATGGTTCAGGTCTCAGACAATTCTTTGAAGAGTCTGATGTACATTAAAAATGTGTAAGTTCAGCCAGACTGAGGAAAAATGGCTGTGTGTTCTAAAACTTCAATTCGTCTAAACTGCATTGTGAGCATTTTGTGGGAAGCTTTATTCCAAACATTTTTTGTAACATTTTACAAATATGTTTATAATACACACATTTGTCTTTTGTTTTTAGCTGTCATACTGTCATGCCTTTTAAGTCAAGGAATCACATATTTGATGGGCTGAGGCTCACCACTCTGTAGGAGAAGCTTTTTACATCATGGATAATTTTACAAAAGCATCCATCCATCCATCCATCCATCCATCCATCCATCCATCCATCCATCCATCCATCCATCCATCCATCCATCCATCCATC